CAGCTGAACCTGCGCCATGTTGGGCAGGCGGCAGCAGGAAGCGCGGCCGCACGCACCGCTGTTGTCCTCTCTCCGATACGCCGCTTCGGCGAAATAACCCGCTCGGGACTGGAAACCAGTCACCGTGTCACCCGAGGAGGCCTCCCTCCGTCCTTGCGGCGTGGATTTAAACCCGAGTAAGGTCCCAGCCCGGGCAAACGGCCTCCCCCCGCCCCGGCCCGGGCCCTGTTTTCAGGCCACAGCCTTGCAGGCCCGGCAGCTCCGTCCCTCCCCTCGCTCCCGACTCGGGCCTAGTCCGCACAGTTTATTGCATAAAGGGTTTGAAAACGAACACTGCTACTCAAAATAGTTACCCTGATACAACCTTGTTAACGCAGTTACGTAAGGACAAAAATAGAGCTATACACCCGTTTCTTCACTGGCTGCAGCAGTAAGAGGCATGCATGGACCTGATCTTTAACTAGACCAGGCCGGGGCTAACAAAGCCACGGGGCTAACAAAGGTTTTTCAAGTGCACTAACTCTCCACCAAACACGAAGCGCTATTCCGGGGCTCAGCACGGAGCCGATCGGCTAAGCAAAACTGCTCAGTTTTCCCCTCTGTGGTTTGTTGGTTGTTTTTTTTTCCCCCCCTTCTGCACAGCATTAATTTGGGGCTCTGCTCAGCCACCAAGTTGTACAGTGGTTTAATTTTTCCAATTTGGTCAAAAGTTATTAGAAAACCAACAGCAGAGAGGGTTTCACAAGAACAGAAAGGCAACACTGATCTGCAAGTCTGCTTGCTTAGGGAGCCTGGATAAAAAAAGCTAATCTTCACTTGCACGGGGGGAAAAAAAAAAAGCACAAGTCAAAACAACTAGATGATCAGTATGAAGTCCTACTGCAGGGAAGGTGTGTTCGGCATGAAGTTGGTACAGGTCACATGTCCTTCTGAACCAGAACAAATTAACGTTTACCTGCACCGAGAAGGGAGGAGATGAGGCAGTCATGCTGCTTCCACTGCACAAGGAGGGGGCTCTTTTAACCACATACACGCACACACACACTGCTCTGTCCTCAGTCAGGCTGGATCCATTTGGAGGAAACATGACTCAGTCAGCAAGGTTAGCTCAACCCATCACTGCACAACAGCTTGTTGGAACAGAGACAGGGAGAGCTCCCTCATGCAATTCGTACAGATGAGAAAAAGGTTGCCAGAAACTTTCCCTTACGATAAATCTAAGTTAGTAGATTTTATCTCCGTCTACTAGGTCAGAGTCATCTCAATAGGGGAAGAAAAGGATAGGAGTGCATCAGTGCTGGGGACAGGTCAGTGCGTGATCAAAGCTGCACAAATATAAAACATTACCTTTGTCCATTTCTTCATGAAAGAGCTATCTTAGCCAGTCTGCTGAGGTACTCTGATATATCCTGTTCTGCCAAGGTAGGAACAAAACAGGGTTCACCTAATATTGCAAGATTACTGACTGAAGCTTACAGATAACTCTGCATTAATTTAGATGTCACCTGCCTGTCCAACCTTCATGTTCTTTTTTTTTTTTTTCCAATTTTGAATGTAAAATTTTTAAAGAGAAGATACATCATTAAGTCTTCATATCTGAACCCCACACAGAGCTCTATGTTTAGGCCTTGATCTGGCTCAGGCCTCATCACATGCTGAGCCATGTTTCTGGAAGAGCTACATCAACCTAATCAACTGATGATCCCTCTCACCACTACAAACTTCACAGATCGACAGATTCTTTTAGGCCAGTTTTGGATCCCTAACCCTTACCTTAAAATTAGCACATCTGCACACATTCACAGCACCTCTGTGTTAGAAATGCCCTCATTCAGAATCACCCTAGAGCTGCAGTCCTCTGTAATCCCATTCCTAAACAATGTCATGCCTGCCTACTTCAGTAACACGCTCATACTGCTTTATACTCCTGTTACCATGGAGAAACAAAACAGCTAACAGCTTTGAGGCACATCAAGAGATTACTTACTTACCCTAAAGCATTCAAGCCTGTGTATAAAGGCACAAGTACATAAAGTAAGAATAATTTTTTTCCACCCTGAAAATTTAACACAACCAACCTGAGATTTTTTTTTAAGTTGCTAAGGCTAGCTCTTTATTAAACCACTCAGAAGACTAAACCTTTTTTTTTATTATTTTTAAAAGGAGATTAATTCATACCATAGTAGTAAGGGTACTATCTAAGCACTCAATTACACCACCAAACAAATATTTGCAAGTGTAATAGGACTGTGCTTTCAAACTACCATATGCTGTTACCCATTATTGTAAAAGCAAGAAATCCCAGTTATTTTCAGATGTCAGGTGATTTAATTGTGGTAAGAACAGCATTTCTTATAAAGCTAGGTACATAAAGTACACACATAACTGATATAGACATGTAAGCTTAATGACAGCCTCAGTGTAAAAAAAAATAAATTCCTTTTTTTGCTATTTAAGTTAAATACATATTTCTTACATGTTTGCCTCTGGGAAGAACTCTGAGATAGCTCTCCTGTCCTCTTTGAGCCCTATGTTTCAGGAGTTTACTCTTCGCTATTCATATTTTGAAGGGGAAAAATAAGTTAAGGGGATATGCTCTCCTCATTGCTGTACCCTCTCTTAATTCAGGTAGTAGATCCTTCAACTCAGCTCTTCCTAGAACATGCAGATAGATACCAGCCATATCATAAAAACAAGCGTTTGGTAACGTGAACTTCTGAAACAAGAAAGTGCTAGAGGAAAGTACTTTAGCTTTAATTTGAAAAGCTGCTACTTGTATAATAATGATGGCCATTTGAAAAACAAAGCATCATTGCTGATAATCACAAGTACTCCTCTATTAAAATTGCCCTTTCTCTGGTCTCAAAATATATTAAAAAAAAAAAATTCTTCCTTTCCATTTAAATAGAGTGACATCGACCTGTACGTAACAGATGCAATTCAATGCACTTTATTTATCCATCATACAATGTTTTCCTCCTCACGGTGTTACTTTCTAACTCAAGAGAACGTCTCCCCTCTCAAAAGTAATTTGGGGTCCTGCCTCTGGGACTTGACCCTTCAACAGATCAGTGAGGTTTCCCTCACTTTTGTTTGTGCTCCTTTAAACTGAAATTAGCTGCTCTCTTCGTCACCCCTAACATTCTTTTCATTATTCACCCTTAGTCTTTCCAAATGCCTCTCCTCCTCCTGTTTGCCAAGAGCAGTGACAAAGGGGTGACAAGAAGAGGAGCAGGCCTTCAGGAGGGGACTGGGTAGCCTCAGGGGTCCCATCCCACCCGGGCTTTGAACCTTTCTGTACACCTTCAGCCTTGCAGGAGAACCCCAGCACTTATCTTTTCCTAGTTCTGCTCTCTTACAGCCTTGCCTGTCCTGTTTGGCTGTTCTTCTCACACTTTACCCTATGTCTGACCATTGCAATATGCTCCTGGTCTCTTCTGTACGTCCTTAACCCTTCTACACTCAATTAATATTGCCTTTGGAGTTCCACATTCAACACACCATTACTTCAAAAGAGAATATCATTCTTGAAATACGCTGCTGCCTTTTATGATAGCAGGGAGCATGTGGAACAAGTCTCCTTCTTTCTCCCTTTTCATCTCTCCTCATGAAAACCTCATTAATCATTATTACAGCCAGTCAGAAATTTTCAGACATTTCTGAAGTGCTAATTTGTCACAAGTGAGGTTGCATGACAAAGGGTCAGTTCTGACGATTTCTTAGCCCAAAGAACCCTCTATCCATACATCTCTATAGATAGGTTCTATCTGCAGAGACTCTGCCAGGAGGTCAGGAGTTTGTTTTGGAGAAATACCGCTACACTTAGCTGGGCTCCTCTCTCCCTGACATTCACTACTGCTCACTATCAGAGTCAGGATGCTGAACTAGATTGACCTTGCCTTGTACCATCTCTCTCTCTCTCTCCATGATATTTTAATATCAAATGAAGTCCAATTAATCTCAGAAATGAGGAGGTCATTTTCCATAATAAGGCCTATTATTTGCACAGGAACTAGATCAGTTAGGTCCTAAGGATGATTTCAGACCTAAGGATGGTTAGTGCCTGATTACAAGTAGAGCTAACAGCATTCAAGGGACTGACATTCAGCTTTCTGGCACCGGTTTGGGTAGCCAGTTCCTCCTCAGTAGCGCCTTTCTCTTATTACACTTCTGCAAACCATTTCCCTTTCTGCCATGGTATCCTTTGGGCCTCCAGGTGGGTTATGAGTCAAGGGTCAGTACACAAGACCTTTTTAAGATCCCAGTGCCACTTTGCTTTCCCTGTGCTGGATGAAGATGAAATACTTCAGCAATCGGCGGATGGAAGGGCTGCAAAGCTACGCTGGGACATCACAAATCAGCCACAACCCATGTTTGTCATCTTTAAAGGGCAAGCGCCCACTGACCTTGTAGAGACAAGAATCCCCCTTTCCCCATTTTCAAGAAGCAGCTTTTCTTGCTTAAAAAAGCCAGAAAACAAAACTATGAGTTTCTGAGAAACAATGTCTCATTTCAGAGCATTCAGAGACTCACACAACTTCTAAGCCTGCCCTTGGAAAAAAGGCTGCATCCTCCAAAATTAAAACCAGGATTCATTTTGGCTTTATTCAGAACCTTTCAGAAGTTTACTGACCACACTCTTATCATGAACTAATTTATAAGAAGATATTCAGTTCAGGAAATCAGACACCTACAGTTTCATGAGATTTTTCTTATAACCTGCCACATACACACATTTACTAGAGTGGGCTGTGAACTCCAAGAAATTAGATAGGCTAAACCCCTCTGAAGAGCAGTCAGTCTGCATTGTGAATCAACTTCCACAAAATATCATTTTCCTGCAAGAAGACAGTGGGAAACAACCATATCAAGAGAGTATCAATCACTCTAAGGGACTATTAGGACAATCATAAGTAGATTTTGAAGTTGAGTGTCAGCTCCAGTGTACCTTCCTGCTAATATACCAGAAGGAACATACGGTCAATATATGTAGCTAAACCCAATTGATCTCGGAAGACAGATGCAAGAAGTGTGTGTGGCAGGACAATTCACAACCAGCAGCCAACAAAACAGCTGTCACATAATGCAACTTTTCTGTTCAATCTGACTTTAAAAAAGAAAAACAACCCTGAAACCCAAACAAAAAACCCCCAAGAAACCCAAACACCACCCTCAC